TCTGTCCTGCCTCTCTCCCGTGCTATATATATATATATATATATATATATATATATATATATATATTAAATTGCATTATTTACAGATATTCAGAGCTCATAATAAATACTGGTGGTAGAAAATTGGCTAAAGATTCAACAGAAAGTTAAGTTGTAAGAAAAGCCTTATAATAGTAGAATGGATGGAGAAATAAGGAGCTGAAGGGTAGACATGCATGCAGCCGTGAAATAGTACTTTAAAAATCAAGATTTTTCCACATGAAATTTTTGCTATCGTGCAATTTATTTTCTCAAAGGAAGACTTTTCAATGGAGAAAGTAATTTTCCGCTTCATTATAACCCAAAAATCTTTAAATTTATTGAATGGATGACACATGACATTTTCTGCTTCCGGCCTGAAGTATCTCTTTGGGAACTCGTATACTGCACATTGAGCATTGGCATGGAGCGAGCTAGGTCAAGAATGTTTATAGGGTTTGAGCTCATTTTGGTCTCTCTATCTAGTCTGCTGCTGCTCTCCCCTGAAATTTGTATCACCTAAAGCTCCTATATGTATGTATATATGATTTTAGAACTTGTATATTGTACATTTCATTGCATTGTTACGAGATAGTCAAAAGATGAAAATGTTAAACGTTGTTTCTTTCGCCGACCGAACAAATAGATATCTGAACGAGAGATAGAAGGAGCTCAATTCAAGAGACAGTAGTTCATAATCATCTCTCTCAGTCGGTTTCGGATTACAGTGTTACCCCCTCAGCACCTAGCTTGTCCCGATGAAAGGAGTGACTTTTCTCATAATTTTCCCATGAAAAGGCCGACCGACGATCTTCTAGCCGACCATCAATCTTCCGGCCGATCAGAATCCTCCACCTGATCGAGTGATAGGGTGGTGTAATCATAACGTTGTTTAAAAAGATAACGTTTATCTTTATAAAACCTTTAAACTTTTCACACTTTATTTCTCAAAATCAAAGTACAATAAAACTTTCCGCAAAATTTCATTTTAAATGAAAAGAAAAATACAACTCAAACTGCTGTCTTTTTTAGAAAAAAATGCATACGCATTTAATCAGTGGAAAATCTGCCAATGAAATCGTAATCGAACACAAATTTGTGGTGTGAGTTTGAACAAAAAAAATTGTGGTCAGGAAATCAAACAATAAACATAAAAAGTTGGAAGCAAGAAATAAGTACAATTATTTGAGATCAGAAAAGGACAAGTGATTTAAAATCGAACAAGGACAGGAGATGAAGCTCGGATGGATTTAAGTTAAATTCATCTCTAAATCATGTTAATTATATGCTGCCAAACATCATCTAGAGATTCAAGTCTAAAACTCATCTTAATTACTGGCTATTAGTTTCCAAATGCTGAACTTTCACCCAAAAAAAAAAAAAAGGAAAACTGACGTCAGTAATTAATTGACTTCCACTCATTAAAATTCACCAAAAATCACTTTCATAGTGTGCAAATTTGTTTAAGAAACCTTATTAATGTATCATATAATTTTCCAACTGCACAAAATGTCTTAATGCTTTTCGTTTTTTTAGAAAAATCAGTACTTGTTGACAGATGACCAATTTGGATGCAGTCGGAATTAAAATTATTTGAATAACATAAGATTCTTAATAATGACAGTTAAATGATAAAAAGCTTTTCACTGAACAAAAGCAACCAAAAGAAATTTAATAAATATATTTTCAAGCAAACTCGGGGGTAGATCCAACTACAAATACAGCTAGAAGTTTCAATCCAGCTTGCTCTTTTCAATTTTGGAGGCTTTTCCATTATATGCAAGCTATCTCTAGTGTATCTAGCTTAGGATGTAACCTTTATCTTCTTGATAAAAGGAATCTCCAAAATGTCCTGCTTATCAGCATTCCATCTTCTATACCAATGCTCCCTAGCCCTACACAGTGCTTGCCATCCCATAGCCTTTTAGGCTTTAACACCTCTTAATCTCAACCTTTTGCCAAATTTTTAATGCATGTGATGGGCTTTCTAGTGTTCCACTTAAGGTTGTTTCTCTTTTCTTATGCTCTTTGATCATTTAGTGACCTAAGGTTTGAGTCGAGTTGACATATTGGGCCAACTTTTGATAGCCCAATAGCAGCCTTATCTCAAATTTTTGCATCTACTATCAGTGGTTACAACAACTACTTATTCACTGATAACATAAAACAATATATGTATGTGTCGCACTTTAAATCATCAAATTTAAGTTTGTGTGTAAGTTTATAAATTTTGCCACACTAATGATTTAATTTTGCTACACAAAGGATTCTAAGCCAACAGATGTTATTGCAGCTCATAGTCACGATCTACATGACCAACTACGTCTTACGTTGCTCATAGGTCATGCAACTCTTAACTTCGGCCTTTGCGGCCTAGAGACACTATTATAGCTCGTTGTTATGACCTAAGTAACTAATTATGACTTACAAGGCTCACAACTCTTGCAAGTTGACCTCATTTTCGGTCAACCCTATTTTCTAGGCTTAAGCTTAACTGGACTTTACTTGAGCTTGGTCTTAAGCAAACCCTAACTTAAGAAAATAAATTTTTTTACTCAATAAAATCAAAGGAAATTAAAATAAAATATCTTCAAGGTACAACCAATTCTAAACAAACTCTGAGATAACTCTAAGAACAACTTTAGTCACTTAAACCCTGATATTATTGTTTTCTCTTTCGAGATGATTTTAGGACTCAAGCCTTCATTTTGAAAGTTGCATGAGTCTTATTATCTCTTACAAATATCATGCAAATAAGTTTGACGATCATTTGAAATAATGCTTGCATAAAATTCTTCAAGTCAAATTTTCATGCATGCACATTAACCCGATAAAATTATTGTTTTCTTCCACAAGTCAATACAGTGATTCAAATTATATTCTTATAATCACATATGAAAATCATACAAACCAGTTTGGTAGTCATCGGACACTATTTCTTACATAATATTGTGCACTTAAGGTTTCCATACATAAAACATGGTCCTATATTAAAATTCTTCAATGAGTCATTACTATTTAAAAAAGAATTCGCCAATGCATCCATATTATCGAAACCTTTTAAATGAGCTCCTCCACACTCAAATCTGATTCCTTTTGGAGGTTCATTGAGCTGACGATAACCAGGAGAGAGAAATATTAATTTTGATAATAAAATGATAATTTGACCATAATTACCTCAAAATGACTTCAAATCAACTTGGGAATTCAATTAAACTTGTTCTAAATTCAAAATTACATAATTTAAACCAATAATATCAATTAAAATTTTTCTGTTTAAAATTGACAATTTTCTCCCAAGGGTATGGGCTCACTTTGACCTATCATATCTTTTTATAAAGCTTGAATAAGCTGAAAATACTTATAGCAATAAATTTCTTGTATTTTTCTTCATAGAATGAGCTCAAATCAATTTTTGACCATAACCAACTTCCAACTACCTTATAGCCACCTTCCCAACCACCTATTCACTTTAAACGCTGATATCTTGAGCTAGAGAACTTTTTCTTTAAAATGGTTTGAACCATTGGATTCCTTGTCTTGTCCTCTTCAAATTGAGCTATACTTGTATTTTTTTTCATAACTACATTTTCTAAATTACTAAAACACACCACTCCTTCGTAAAAATTACAATCCTAACATATTAGTCCTCACCCTCCACTTCTTCTCCAACCTCCTCTATCCTCCACCTCAACAATCCACCTCTGCTCTTCTTATTGGTCAACTTCGTCAAGGTGCCGCACTCCTCTCTCTCTCTCTCCTCCACATCATCTTAAATCCTCACCTATATATTCAAAATTCTAACTCCTTCACCAATCCTAGCCGTCCCTTCCCCTTAACCACTTTTCCCCTCAATTTCCCCCACTAAATCAAATTGTGATTAATTTTGGTTCCCTCTTTCTCACCCACTCCATTCTCCCTCTCAAGCCAAAAATTGAACCCTCTACTACTCTTCCAAGGATCAAACTGAGAGCCTCCATTAATTTCTCTTCAAGTCTTGAGCAAAGGACAAGAGATCAAGGCAAAGAGAAAACATCAAGCTAAGAAAATCAAACATCAAAAGGAAGGTAAGGATTCTTACTTGCTTCCTTGACTTTCTTTCATCTATATTTTCAAATTCATCCATGTGTTTTGTATGTTAATATATGAATTGTAAAATCATTATGTGTTTGCAAAAATTCTTCAACATTCTATGAAATTCACCATATTTTTGAAATCTTTTAAAGATTTGTTGGGCTTATGTTACAATTTTCAAAATTCATCCTAATACTTCAAAACTTTTCATAGGGCTTTTGTGCTTTACATGTTTATGTTATATTGATGATGTTATCCATGTTAGAAACTTAGAAATTCAAATGTTTATATACTTTCCATCTTAAATGTTGCATTTTTCAAATGAAAATCATAGGGCTTTCAATATAACTGCGATATTACATATTGACATAATATTCTTATACATAATAGCATGGTCTCATTCTCCTTCGATCAAAACCGAATGCTTTATGGCTAGAAACAGAAATGTAGCAAAGGGAATATTTCTTTGAAACTTCAGCAAATCACTTGGATTTCATAAAAAAAACTTTGTGCCTTGAATTAATTACAACAAACTAAGTTTTGAAGGCATGAGCATGCAAACCAAAAGCTTAAACCATATATTTCCCCTTGGTCAAACCTATGATTCACTAGAACTTAGTCTATATCTCTAATCACATCTAATGCAAGTCTAAAACACTTTAATCCTCTCTTAATTAGCCTAAACCAAACCGTGATTCCATTAATTAGCCTAAAAGCAAACCTAATCTTCCATAATTAACCTAAATTCAACCTATATCCTTAAATTTAGGTTCATACATCCTAATTAA